TATTGACTTTAAACTAAGTTAAAATCTTGATTTAATTCATACCAAAACGAGGACGAAGTCAAAAATCTAAACTTGTGCACTTTGCACACTCTCTTATCTGTGTGTACTTATGTATGTATATGCATTTGAATAAAGTCCCTTTTTTGTTTAGTTGTCCAATTAAGAAATCTTAGGCTTCAAAGATAGACGATCCATTTTGTTAGCCTATTGAAGAAATTGAGCAATCACACCATCCAAACAATGAAAAAAAATAGTTGAAAAAAGTTGCTTATTCTTGCAAAGATCGATTTATTCAACATAAATAATCACTCACAGGAACAGAAACTTACATTACAAACAGAAAGTGAAACCACTCTCCTTCAATTTAGAACACAAATACATATAATATCGACTGACTTGTAGAAATTTTAAAGTAGGGTTTAATAACTATTGCAAGTAAATTATTGTGTCTTAATTAATCTCCGGACGAAAAGCTCCACGTCTGGCCTCCATATAGAATCCTCAGTAGCCAATGAAAGTCGAGGAATGTAGAGCTACAATGAACAAAAAGAAGGCAATGAGTTGAGGACGTATCTTTGAAATACTTCCATTTGAGGCTGTGTCCATTCATGAATGAAGACAATTAAATGCGTAAAAAATTTGTACATTAATGATGTTTTTCGTTCGTGTTAAAGATATGGTATTAGCATGTTTTGTTAAGCTTAAAAGTTACTTTTCTCGAAAGACAATAGCTGATTATTCCTGTTGTAACTTCCCTATGCTCCATGCCTAGGTTACTTTTCTATCTACCTAGTGAAGTTAAACCATGGTGTAGGGGACAACCGGTCTTGTACATGTCTAGGTTTATAAAAAGCGGCAAAGCGCTAGGCCAGCCGGTAGATGGTTCAACTCTTTGTTTTTGAGAAAAGCAACTTTTAAGTTACTTCTAATTTAATCGATAGAATATTTTTTTCATTTTATAGTTATTAGTAACTGTGGAGAAAAAATCCCTCGAGAAACCTTGATTCTGGGCTCAGAAAACAACCAAACGAACACCATACTACCAAGACGTGACCCAAAACTTCTACACCTTGTTTGCTTCAAATTTCATCCACACGAAGGAGATATGGTGGTGGTAATTGCATGCCTACACAGGGAGGAAGCAGAAGAGAATAACAATGGTTGGAACTCACCAAAAAATCCACCAAACAAAACCCGGCTGCCCTTTCTTCTCCATGGCCGCCTCTCCTCTCCACTCTCTTGCACACACTTCACACACACTCTAAACGGCTGGGAATGGGGAGAATAAATAGCGGTCAATTAGGTCACTTAATTTTGGACCAAACACTCCCTCCAAAATGGGCCAAAGTCCACTAAATGGACTACCAAATAATTCCCACAACTAACCACATAAATGGGCTAACAACATAACCATCCAAACCCAAACTTGGGCCATCCAAAAGTATAGGTCGTTTCCGAGTCGAGCTAAATCTATGGTGTCGCTAAATAATCCGACAACTATTTTGCATCATCGCCCGAATTTATTGGGTATCAAAAACCCAACAGCAACCCTATAAATAGTACTATACTTCGACTGTAAACATTTACCTGTCACTGATGGACTAGTTGGAGAAGGGAAAACTCATTTGTACAGTCATTAGAGGGGTGTATGAGAAACGCGGTTTGCTAACTAAGTTATCGAATAATTATTAATTATCCATTTTTAATTTTGACCCTACGTGCGGAATTAATCAATCAAAAGCAACAAGTCACTTTTAATTATTTTTAGATGGTTAAACAAACAGTCAAATTATCCTAAATTGAATTGCCACAATTTGTAATATGAAAAGCAATAAATAACACCAATATGATGATGGAGAAACCCCAATTGGGTAAAAACTCTGGGACCATGCCAGTTACCTCCATTATAGACAATGTGGGTTACAGTTCAATTCCAAACTAGTTCCACTAGCTGTTGTAAACCCTGCAACTTCAAGATCTGCTGCTCATTCCAGCCTCGCGATCTGCTATCGTAGATACTGTCTAGCCAACCTGCTAGATCTCCCGATCTACCTCCTGTGGCTTCCAAGTTCTGCTGTACTTACAGATTCACAATCTTCTACCAAGATATGCTGCAGCAGTCTCACGTTCTTCCGCACACGTCTCTCCAAGTAGATACCCAGGAATCACCTATTCCTGTTTTTCTTCCTGTGCTTGTAGGCCAATCTCTCTTAACCTCCAGAAACTTCTGAAGTCCAACTGAGAAAGTTCATTCTTATGACCAATAAGAAATAGGTGGTGTTTCGGTTTAAGGAATTGATATTTTTCCCAACAGGTGGTTGTATGAACTCAAGAATCAAAGGATAGAATCAATGTAAGAATATCTTGGATCTTCAAAGGATGATAGGAAGAAGTAATATAATGAACAACCAGACCAAATTCGTCCAATGGCTTGAGTATTTATAGGAGAGGAGAATTAGGTTGAATGGGCCAAGAAAAAGTCTCGGAAATAGAAAATTAGGTTTGGACGAATAATACGTTGCTCGAGCGAAGGGTCTGTCGCTTGAGCGACAGTGGGGAGAAGGTCGAGCAAAGCAGTCTTTGTTTCAGTCGCTCGAGCATCACTCTGGCGAGCAGCTAGTAAAAAACCGACGTAAATCCTTGTTGTTCCAAATATGAAACCCCAAACCCTAAGCTAACCTACAAACTATGAAACTTTACAATTCAGTCCCTAAACTTTTATAATTGTTCAAGTTGATCCTTTTGTTCATAGAATTGCCAATACAATATATAAACCTAACAGTGTANATATATATATATACATGCATGACAATACACTAAATTCACTACTAATCTAATGGAGTCGTGGTGGTCAGGGCCTTACCATTGCACCTACTAGTTGGTGGAGTTTCCACCTTACACGCACCAGGCAGTGCAACCGCTTGCGTTTGGTTAATATTGACTCCCAACGATCCACTACCACCGTTAACTGTAGTGCAAAGGCATCGGGATTGAGTTTGCACAACATTAGCTAGCACGGAGCAACATGAAGAAGACGGGGTGTTAGTGTTGGAAATTGGTTTAGAAGATTGAAAATTTGGTTAAGTGTCAAAACCAAAAACTTGGAAAAATGACTTTCGTTATTAGCCTCAATAAAAATATAGCCTCAAACAGAAGTTTGTTTCCTTTTGCCTGGATGCGTTCTGCATACTGTCAATTCTAGCGTAATACACATATTTCTTTTGGTTTTAATTGGTAGAGTTGACATAGATCACTTCTGTTTTTTATTTTAGATTTTGTTTAGCATATTTATCTTCCTATTATAAGAGGGCATTCAGCCAATCTTTTAAATCTTTCTTCTCAATCCTTATATTCCTCCTGTATGCTTCATTTGAGACTAAATTTTCTCTGGACTATTGTGACTAAATTTGGATTGTAACTTGTGAAGAAAATTTTCTCTATTCTATCATGGTGGTTTTCAATTTAATTGTGACCACGTGTTGTTAGAAACTGAGATCTTACCTCTATCTTCACATCTATTTTGCATCAACATTTTTTCTTGCTAATGCAGACATTTTTGCTTTGCTGATGCAAAAGGTGCAGGGGTTGATTGTAACCTTGTGTAATATGGGCAGTTTTCCGACTGGTAGTGAAGCAGCTATGTGAAATTTACTATGTACTATATGCAGAGAGTTGGTTTTGCATATTGAACCGTATTTTCATAGTCTCCCAGATCATGGTAATTCTTTTTTTAGAACTCTTTTAGTTATCATGTTGACTTGCTTCATGTACAAAGATGTGTTAGATGAATGGGAAATGCTCATCCTCTTTTGTGTAATTTTGAAGTTTTTTCTGGGAAATATTTAATATTAATTTTTTTGGTAACTGATTGTTTAGCTGTCTGTGGTGGCTCGGTGCTGTGTGATAGTTTGAATATTCCATAGTTATACTAAAAGAGATGAATCAACTTTATTATAATGAGAAGATGACATAAAGTCTCTTCGACCATACAATATCAGATGGACCTCCAAAAAAGGTCATAATTGAATGAATAATACAATGACTTACCAACTCTAGAGGAATTCCAACTAAGAAATAAGAAAGATTGTATATATAGGACTTAGTGAAAGGCCTGTAGACTTCGTGAAAAATCAAGTGGACATATATGATGCTATGAACAGAAGGAAGAAGAGCAGAGAAGCTCCCAACTTGGTGGAAGTTGCATCAGACGAACCATCCCCCGTCGTTGGCACAGTTTTTGATCCACCCTCTGCATGATTTGCACGAAACATATTATTTATCGATTCCTTCAAGTCAACGACATAAGAAAACAGAAACACGCATAAATTGTGTACCTGAAGGGTTTGCATTTGGAGAATTTGGCAATGCATCAGGAGAGGCAGCAGGTGAACCAGCAGCATTGCACTGGCTAACAGGGGGAGTCTGAACATTGCAAGCCCTAGGCAGGGCCATAGCCTGTGTCTGATTTATGTTGAGTCCCAAGGAGGAGCCACCACCATTAAGGACCTGACATAAGCATTGAGGCTGGGACTGAACCACAGAGGCGAGCTGTGTGCAGCATCCTGTCGAGGGGGTTGATGAGTTCCCGGATATGTAATTGAGGCAGGGTGACATACTAATTAGCACATTGGTGCAATCGGTTGATTGTGCAATGGCACCGGTCGAAAACAAGGTAACTAGCATAAGGGCGATGATCATAACCATGTTTTGATGTCCCATTGAATGTGAAGCGACTGAATTTGTTACTGAAAATGCCTGTGGAATGAGGAAATGTTTGGTGCTTGATGGGTAGAGTTCTGTTATGTGTTAGATTTATATAGGAAGTTGTCCGGGGTGGAGGTGGGGTGGGGTGGGTTACCAACATCTCCTACTCTTGGAAGTCTTGGAAATTTTGTTAGCTATGAAGGGCTTTCAGACCTTGGCTTGTTGTTTAGTTTAATACGAAAACTTGGGGATTTGAGATAAATGGAGTATGGTCAAGTGAGTGGGTGGCCTACTTTTTGCCTGACTGAAATGTTCAATGTTTTTAGAATTCTAAAAGTTTCAAGCTATTCAAAGCTAAGACTCATTAAAACATTATCGTTAGAATAAGGCATAATTGCACTTATTTGTCCTCAACTCCCCAGATGTGTAAATTTCGGTAGGTGGACGTTTTTGCTTTTGTAGAAGAAGAATAATGCATAATTGCACTTATTTGTCCTCAACTCCCTAGAGGTGTAAATTTCGGTTGACAGTCTGGGCTCCGTTGAGGTGGACCTTTTGCTTTTGTAAGCACATAAAAGGTTAAAAGAGTTGTCGGGGACACTGGTCTTCCCAATTTGGTGGAGTTGAATTATGAGATTTGCATAGCCATTCGTTAGTCAATAGGTGATTCATAATTCATGAGTCACGAGACAAAGGAGATCAATCGTCGAAGTCCACATAGTGGTGACATCTTTGGTCGGATCAACATGATAGCTATCTGTCTTCGATCTGTCCATAGCAAATTCGTTCGATGCGAATCTTCACATTTTGTCTACTAGCAAGCTCCGTATTAATAAGAGGACCTGGCAGGACACATTAGTGGTCCTTCTATGCTTCATGTTACACATCTACTCTACTTATTTTGGAATCATCATTTCTTGATATTTTTGGGGGAAAATGTTATTAAACCTTTTAAGATGATTAGTTGGCTTTCCTCAACTCCCTTAGTTTGCATATTAATTTACGGATTAATCTATGTGTACATAGATTGATCCATAAGGATGACATAATGTAAGTGGGGTGTGGTCCGCGCTATAGTAGCGCTACAGTATTGCGGGTCCCATCACACTCACATTATGTCATCCACTATGTGTACACCTATGTACACATAACATGACTATTAATTTACAGCTCTTTACTTTGATAATTGATGCGTGCAAAACACCTTTGTGTTTGTGTTTTTTTTTTTTTTTTTGGATTTTTGACCATCGACGTCTAATTTATTAGCATAGTAACTCTATCACCATTTGTCAAACTCAAAATCCTTACGATAATAAACCGTGGGTCATATTTAATGGAATGGTTTCTTGTATTTAAAGGTTTTATGATAGATATTGTAAAGATCAAATCTACGCCGTTCCATTAAATCAATCCTACCCATCAATTCGAGCTGGCTTCGCTATAAATAGATGAATACTCATTTGTACGTAATCAAGTTTAAAGTTGTAAACCTTTATCATATATAATATACGAGAATACCCCCAAACTATCTCATGTTTTCTTTTCAATATGTCTTCCTTTAGCCAAAATTTTAGTTGTTCAAAGTACTTAGCATCTATGTTGAGTTTAGGAAACCTCGTGCAAGATTAATGTTAACGTCGAAAAGTGATTGAAATTACAACAATGTGATAATTGATAACATCATTATTTGTTGTTGCAAACATGGTGCAGAGGTATGAAAAATCTACCAGACCCTCTAATCCAAGTCATTCCAGATTGATTTTTATCAATGCTCCAATTAATTGTAACTGTTTTTCTTGTAAAGCGGGATTAAGCAAACTCTGCGCTTGAATGTCAAAGGTGACGTAAAATTTATGGAGAAGTGCTACTTGTACAGCCCCACATGACCCTATAAAATGTTTGGCGTAGGCATCCCCTGGCATTGGGGGAGAAAAAAAACATGACCTATACAAACCTTTCATTTTAGAAAAAAAAAAAATTATATAAAATTAACAATATTGAAAAACACAAATTTGCTTCTTCTGTCTACCCCTAACTACCACTACAACATAGCCACCCCACCCCATCAAATTTAATTCATCAAATTCAATTCAAGATTTGCAAATTCAGTAACCCTCCTTATTCTCATAACTCGTTTAAATAACTATTGCTTTCTTGTCTTTGCGGGCAGAGCGATTGCATTCTCTTACTGTATAATTATAATAATTGGCTTTTCTAGATTTAAAATATAAGCAAAAGTTAACGTTGAGTTGATATATTATTTGCAAGTTGTTTTGGATGATGTTGATGGTGTGAGTAGGATTTGTTTAAGGGTATTTATATTATCACTATGATTCCAAACAACGAAGATTTATTAGGCTACTAATATATCCACCATCTTATTCGTCTTTTCAAGAAAGGGAGGTAACGAATTGGATTGAGCTTCATCCATCATAAATTTATCCAAGGATCACAACGAGAAGGCATCAAAAGGAAGAAACCAAAATCATTGGCCAAAAACAACCCAAAATATCAAATTAAGTATAGCAGCCATAATTCTCCACTTCAAATTTCTAAACTTAACCAATGTCCGAATATACACAAAGGAAGAAGTTATTACATCAAATTTAAAAAAATTTCCTGCTTTTTCGCCATTCTCTCTCAAATCCAACAAGTTATCAATTACTTCAAAATATCCATGTAATACCACCGAATTTTTTCCATCCCAATTCCTCTTAAATCTCAATAAATCCTGATACTTCTTACCATCCAAATTTCAATTCGATACAACCCAAGTGGATAAGAAAAGCAAATCCAACCAATCCTATGTGTATTTATAACCAAAAGCACAATAAAAATCCATCATCGACAAGCGCATTTGCTGGCCACATTCATGAAGGGTGAAGGAGAGGGCCGAGAAGGTAGTTTGGTGTACTGTGGAGGTCACTGGGCAGGTTTGGATATCCAACATTTGCTAGAATTTTATGTGGTGTAAAGATAATTTGATGGAATTGTTGTGGTATATAATTTTTAATTGAGTTAGTTTATACTAATCAAATCGAGGTGTTGTATTTATTAAAAATGTAATTTAATTGGGGTGCATTTAAAATGTTGTAAAACAACAATAAATTGTGGTGGCGATATAACCACCATTTGTTTAATTACTTGCTAAAAATAATGCTACAATTCTTACCTTCGCTTCCAAAGAATTCATTAACCTTCAACAGACTTTCCATTACACATCCTCCACTCCGGTGGAAAAATGCGGATCCACTAGTAACACATTATTAATCATGGTAACTATCAACATTTCATAAAAATGAAGATATCCTTCTTAAAAATATCAATATCTCGTATGGAGAAAACAGAATGAAAATATCCTACTTAAAACTATCACTATGTCGTATGGAGAAAGCAAGGTTTGCGACAACATGCATATCAACTTTTTATAGAGTTTTTCTAAGGTGTCCAGATTGTACACATATATGGACTAGTTTTTATTTTATTTTTTTTTTCCCAAATCCTTTTGTAGCGCATATTGTATCCTTTATACGCACTTACCACCAACCGAAAATAAATCTTTTATGAATTTCTCTTCCTCGAACTTAACCCTTTATATTCATGCACCGCTCCTCAAGCTTGATAATATATCAAACTTCACCACATGGAATAAACCTTGCTTATGATACCACTTGCTGGGAATCTCAACTAATATCATGATTCACCCAAGGATCTTCTTTCAAGAAATATCAAGAAAAATAGAGATAAAAATACAGATAGCTAAAAAAAAACAATAATTTACTTGAAAAACTCCTAAACCAAAAACTAATCATGGTCTCAAAAAAAATTACACTACATGAAAAACAAAGACATACATACTAAAATAGCCTTCATAGTATTTGTAACCCAAGTCTTATCCCACAATAATAACTCATAACTATCTCACGAAACTAAGACAAATAAAATAGTAAGGGGACGCCTCTATTTATAGGGACATAAGCGGAGAGCCTTTTGTTTTACATCTGAGGTGAGTTTCATGTGATTCCCATCAAAAGTTGGAAAATAAAATTATATTCTACATAGAATAATAATATTCAGCATCTATTTTTATAGGACAATATTAAGTCCCTGTTTCATGG